TGCGTGGAATGGTGCGCTGTGATTGGTTGTTACTGTTTACAGTGCATGGAATGGTGCGCTGTGATTGGTTGTTACTGTCTAGACTGCGTGGAATGGTGCGCTGTGATTGGTTGTTACTGTTTACAGTGCTGGAATGGTGCTCTGTGATTGGTTGTTACTGTCTAGAGTGCGTGGAATGGTGCGCTGTGATTGGTTGTTACTGTTTAAATACTGTCAATGAAAAATTTACTTTTCAATACTGACCAGATACAATACTGATTTGGTGGATATTTTTTTTAAATGGCGTTTATCGCGTTTTGGAACCAAACTCTTCATGTTTAACCCTTGTTTTGTGCTGATTCTTGGTCAAAAATGACTGATCTTTAAAACGTGCATGTAAATCGCTCATTATGCAGTTTTATCAGCAAATCTTCGATTCAATCTTTTTGTTTTCCTTGAATGAGCACAGCTTTTGTGTTTCATTTTGATCCTAGGCCTCATTCATCTGAGCTTAAACCTCAGTTTTTGAGTGAATATTGCCAACATTATCCACAAATCATGTTTTCATATGCATTTAACATATGCATGAGCTCAGATCAACAAGGCCTGCGATCAGTCAGCTCCAAAAAGAAACACAAAACCTGTGCTGATTCAAAGAAAACAAGCTGATAAATGATTGAATCTAATACTTGGTAATAATATACAGGTGCATCTCAGTAAATTAGAATGTCGTGGAAAAGTTAATTTATTTCAGTAATTCAACTCAAATTGTGAAACTCGTGTATTAAATAAATTCAGTGCACACAGACTGAAGTAGTTTAAGTCTTTGGTTCTTTTAATTGTGATGATTTTGGCTCACATTTAACAAAAACCCACCAATTCACTATCTCAACAAATTAGAATATGGTGACATGCCAATCAGCTAATCAACTCAAAACACCTGCAAAGGTTTCCTGAGCCTTCAAAATGGTCTCTCAGCTTGGAAATTCAGTCTGAATGTTCCAGATAGACACACGTACAGCCTCCATTCATGCTCCAGGGCTGAGATATTAGATGATTCACAGAATCCCACCCTAAAATACACACTTCTTTTTCAGAAAAAATCGACTGCGGCGTTTACAAGATTGACTCGACGTATGTTGAGCTTCCCGAGGTTCCCCGGCCGTTCGGTGTCGTTCGTGTGAACGCGGCGGTCAAGGCCTTCAGGTTCATCATGAAGCAGAGCTACATCTGTGCTCTCATCGCCATGATGGTGAGTCCTGCTTCACTGTCCTTGCTTTCAGCAGCCGGCTCAGTGCAAAGGACATTATTTGAAGTCTTGTGTGAACATTGGTTATCTTTTCTTCTCCTGACGGTCCGTCCAGGCTTGGAGCATCACGTACGTGAGCTGGCTGACCTTCGTCTTCCTCATCTGGTCCTGTATTCTGTGGATGGTGAGGGACCGGAGGAAATACTCAATGATCACCTCTCCGTTCATGGTGTTTTATGGGAACTTGCTCATCATCCTGCAGTACATCTGGAGCTTCGAGTCGCTGCAGCCGGTTCCTGGGCTCTTCCTGAAGAAAGAAGTGCCTTTCCGGGAACTGGGATCTAAAGTGAGGCCGTGTGTTTATATGTGTCTACTAGAATGCACGCCGAAACTGAAAGTAAAACTGAAAGACCTTCACGACAACCCGTCAAAATAAAAGTCTGGTTTAACTTGAAGAAATTATGACAGAAATATATTACTATTGTATACTAAAATATAATTCTCAAAGTAGTAGTAGTAATAATAATGATAATAATAATACTATTATTTTAAGGAATATCATACAACCAAGATATCTGTTCAACCATGTTTTAATTTACACATTTCTGTCGTGCAGCATCTTATTTAAATAAATAAAAATGCAATGTTTTGTTGTAAATTAATTTTAAAATTTTTATGAAATTTTTATATTTAATATAAAATATACTTTTAATATATATATATATATTATATATATATATTTCATTTTTAAAGTTTTATTAATTCATTAATTCACAGTTTATTGTTGATGATAAATTTGTATTAAATCATGAAACACAGAATCCAGAAAAAAAGAAAAAAGGAAAACAGAATTTAGGGGAAAATAAATATCCTTCCCCATTAAAGCTAAAAAAAAAAGAAAAAAAGTGATAATATTTTTGGCCACATCACTCAGCCATGTTGTCTATGTATTAATGTGTTTAAATAACTTATAAAAAAGATGTTGATTGGATGAGCCACACTGTGTTCTGATTGGCTGTGATTGTGATTGATTAGGACACAGTTGGAAGAGTAGTTTATTGTGATGATTGGTAGTAGTACAGTTGATAATTTATTGAAGATTAGTGTATTTTACGCTATGTATTTGCTGCTAAAATCACTGAAGAACTGCTCCACAGGGATTTGACCCTGATTAAAGCAGTTTTAGGCACTGATCACACACACATCCTCTTGTGAATGAAGCACTGATGCTCCCTGATGTTGTTTGGCTTGAATAATGTACGGTGTGTTTGTGTGTGTTTGTGCAGACCTTGTGTCTCCTCAGTTTCTGGCTGCTGTTGAGGCAGTTTCTGACTGAGAGGAGAGAGAGACAGACGGATGAAACACAGCTGTCTGACGTCAAAGTGGAGGGACACACAACCGGTCAGTCCACCTGTACAGAAACAGCTCCCTTACCGAAGTAACTAAGACCATAAAAAACATCAGATCAGAGAATTTAAACTTGTTTTATTTCAGCTAGGCAACATTTGCATTTTCATTTATTTGAACTTGATTCT